CTACCAGCCTCGCTAAGGAAGGCTTGTTATGTGCTTAACGAGAGGAGAGAGGAGAGAGAAACATGGATGGTGTGTTCTTATTGGCTTATCTAAATTTTTCTTTTTCTTTTATAATTTTTTTTCTAAAATAAAACTCGTTAAACTAACAAACTACCACTCCCTACCTTTTTTACACTTTGGATACTAATACTCTTCCCAAACTATGTGGCTTCAAAAAATGTGATGTGGCATAAAAAAATTTGATGTGGTAACCAGCGTTGTAAAACTCGCCGAGTTAGCCGATTATTCCTCCGAGTACTCGCTACTCGGCCCCTTACCAAGGCGAGTTACAGAATCCCGAGTACTCTCCGATCGGCCCCTTACTGAACTGAGCAGTGTTGTAAAACTTGGTCAACTCGGTGATTAATATGTATTATTTACTTGATGATTTATTATTTAACACACACACACATGTGATTATTACTACATATATATATCTTAAATTTTCAGTAATTATTCACGAAGTGAGACCATTATGTGATTTTCAGATTTTGTGTATTCATATGTATCTAATTTTGTTATATATTTCAATCAACTTATGATTTTAACTTATGATTTTGACATATATAATTTCCCTAAAAATATGTCTACATGAATTACCGAATCCGAGTACTCCCCGAGTACTCGTTACTCGGTAGTCGGCCGAACAGGTACCGAGTAACGAGTTTTACAACCTTGGTGGTAACATGCTAAGCATGCTACCACTCCCTTAAGCCCCAGGTGAAACCTTAACTCTTAACTCTGGTTCGGTGTTTGCAAAGATTTGGTTTATCGGACCACCGTCGGTGTCACCCCTATTATCAACCACTGTGTGTAAGAACTTGGTTTGTCTTCTTCGGGAGTAGTGGCGAGCTCAAGGTGATGGCAACAAAACCTTATATCTTTAGATCTCGGTCCGTCTTCTCCGATAGCGAGAATTGATTAGGGTTTTAAGGTGACAGATGATTTCGGATCGGAGGGTTTCCTGAAAGGTTTTCATATCGGAGGGTTTTTAGAAAGGTTCAACACCAATGGTGTTGATCGGTGGTGGTGTCGATGGTCATATCTTCCAACTGTGGTGGTGGTCATATCTTTTGACAAAGGGTTTTCAACATTGTTGAAGGGTTGTCTTGATCTTGAATAACTTGTATATTTGGAAACCCTTCTTGTATTGTGTTTATTAGGTTATTATTTTGAGTTTATCTTGTTCTTTAGTAAGTTTGCATAAATATCTTGTGTTCATGTTTGAGTTTTTTGGAAAAAGCAGAATGTGTTTGAGTACATCAGATTTTTCCAACTTTCTTGTTCATGTCTGGTGGTAGTGGAAAAATTAATCGATGATACAAAAATAGACGATTGGTGGTGATTGAGTTCATCATATTAGGATGAATAGAAAAAGAGAAGGAGAGAGAGGGGGTGGGTAAGGTGGGTAGCAGTGGTGGACGGTTTGAGTTTTGATGATCGTGCGACTGTTTTATTTTTATCTAAATAATAATATAATTTTTTTCTCAATCCAACATATTTCATTATATATTTTGTTATCAAAATTTGGTTTTTTATTTTTATTTTTTTGTTTATATTGATATAAAGTATGTTTTATGTACTTCATATTGTTGAAATATGAGATTATACGGACGTTTAAATCCACAAGATTTTAATAAAGTGTATGTATTTTCCCATTGAGCCTGGTACTCTAAATCGCTTTATTTCGAAACTAATTACACCGTTGTAATTTTTATAAATTACCCAAATTATTATTATTATTAAAAAAAAAACTTTATAATTTATCTTAATACAAAATGCCACTAAAATACGAAATCCACTCAATTTCCTATTCAATGTTTTCCAAATTAGTTTTTCATTTTATTATATATTTGTTTTCATGTATGTAGGGTTGTAATACGATGTAAAATTTTGTTTGTTAATACACAAATTTTCGGTAGCTTACCCATAACATGTGGCGGAAATGGATCAATGGTTGCCTAGCTTCATCGATGACATCAGTGTTGGTTAATGGTTCACCAACAGATGAATTTCCCACATCTAGAGGCGTTCGGCAAGGAGATCCGCTATCTCCTTTCCTTTTTATTTTAGCGATGGAAGGATTAAGTGTGGCGATTAAAAGTGCATGTTCTAATTCGTTAATTCGGGGTATTAAGCTACCAAATGAAGGGCCTTTGATCCCTCACCTCTTCTATGCGGATGACGCTATCTTTGCTGGCGAATGGTGCAGTGAAAGTATAAAAAATTTGTCTCGTATCCTCAGATGTTTTCATATTTCATCGGGTCTTAAAGTGAACTTTTTCAAGTCCGGATTATTTGGCATTGACATATCTACACAGGAAACTCAACGTATGGCGCGGATATTAGGCTGCATGGAAGGGTCATTTCCGTTGACATATTTGGGCGTCCTAGTTGGGGCAAATATGTCACTAAAGAAAAATTGACAGCCCATCATAGATAAGTTTCGAGCTAAGTTATCAATATAGAAAGCCAAATCACTCTCATTTGGCGGGCGTCTCACTCTGATAAAGTCTGTGCTAAATAGCCTTCCAACTTATTATATGTCATTATTTAAAGCACCACAGGGAATTATCGATCTCCTTGAAAAGATAAGACGTAAATTTCTATGGGGTGAGTCAAAGATACATTGGGTGGACTGGTCTAAAGTAGTAGCAGCAAAAAAGGACGGAGGTTTAGGAGTTGGAACTTTAAAAGCTCAAAATATATCTTTACTTACCAAATGGTGGTGGAGACTATTAAATGAGGGTGACTGTCTATGGAGAAAAGCAATTGTAAGTATCCATAACTTAGAAAAAAAAACTGCCTCATACATTGCAAAGAAAACATGCAATGGTGTATGGTGTAACATCTATAAGGCGATTTGTTCCATTGACGAGATGAACCTAGATAGGAATAAGATGTTTAACCTCGTTCCTGGATGTGGGACGAAAATCCTATTTTGGAAAGATACGTGGTGTGGAAACCTTCCTTTTCAGGTCCGATTCCCAACTTTGTATAACAAGGAAATGGTCAAATGTTGCAATTTAGAGGACCGTCTCTCTGCTTCTGGCTTCACCTGGAAGTGGAAGCAAGAACCAAATGATACCACTTCACTAAATGAATTATTGCAACTTCACACAACCATTGGATCGATGGAGGTGCCTTCTCAATCATCCTTTGGTTTTCGATTCATACCAAATCCGGATGGCTGCTTCACTGTTAACACAATGAGGAGAATTCTTGACTCAAAACTTATACATTATAAAGGTCCTGTTGTTTTCTGGCCCAAAACAGTCCCATTAAAAGTTCGTTGCTTTGTGTGGCGGGCAGATTTGTCGAGAATCCCTATGGCTATCGAGTTATCAGAAAGAGGAGTAATGGTTCCCAATCAGATGTGCCACTTATGCAACAAAGCACCTGAATATGTTGATCATCTTCTTGTAAGCTGTGAATTTGCAAGGGGTGTTTTTGAATGGGTGTTCAAATGGTGTGGGATAAGAACTCAAAAATTCTCCAAGGTGAGGGAGGTTATAAATTTTGCAGCTTCATGGGGGAATTGTCCAAGGAAAAGAACAATCGTCAGCACCATTTGTCCTGTGGAACATATGGAGGGCAAAGAATGATAGAGTTTTCAAGGATTTGAGAACTTCTTACACAAAAGTAGCCGATAATATCATCTCGCTATCGTTTCTATGGTGCAACCACGGGAGTAGTAATGGATGTGGAAGTTGGGTTGATTGGTGTTGTTCGCCATTTCTTCACTTTACTAATGTTGTCTTGTAAATAGTTTGCAATTTTCTTTTTAAACTCCTTGTACTACTTCTGCGTTTTTAGCTTCTTGCTAAGCGTAGACTTTTGCTTTGGTTATTATATATCGTATTTGCTGTTTCAAAAAAAAAAAACACGTATTACTTGATTTTGATTGGTGCGTTTTTAGAATAGGAATATGTTTCATGTAAATTGTCATTTAATATATTAAAATTACCCAAAGTATTGGAATATGTTTATGTAAAGTTTCATTAAATGTGCTGACCATGAACTTCTACATATGATCTTAATTTCAACAATTTTACATATTACGGCAGAAGGTGGTGCACCTTTGGTAAAGAAGTCATGACTTTTTTTAACATGCCATTTTGTTAACTATTACATTATATGTGGTCATTTTCCAACAAAGTACATTGCTTTAATGGTAAAGTAATATATGTACATTATTACTATGGGTAAAAAACAAAGTACATACGATTTTATTATGGGTAAAAAACATACGAGTATTCAATTATAAGTACATTGTTATTATGTGTAAGAGAGCATAAGTACATTGCGATTATGGGTAAAAAAAATTATAACTATAGGTAAAAGTAAAGCATATTGCTTTTTTGGGTAAAAAAATAGTATATGTACATTAGTAGGATGACAAACATATATAGTAGTTATTATTCTGATTTTTTTTTCATATATTGTTGGCCTCAGCAATCATTCATTTACAAGTTGATGTTTGTCCTTTGTTGTTCGTCCTTTGTTGTTTGTTCTTTATGCATCTTCATGAAGTTTTGGTACTCTTCTCAGTTCTCATGAATTCTTTTCATTAACTAACATAACACGTTTGAGTATAATGGAGATAGAGTTGGCAAGAAAATAAATAACAAAAAACTACATTCACCATGGGTGGCTTAAGAAACACACATTGCATAGAGAATACACTCCATGTCTTATTTACCTAGATTATAGATAGAAAGAGAAAACTCCCTGGACAAGAAAGAGTGACGTGGGTCTGCCATTGGAGAACATGGACCAACATTACTCAATTTAATTCCTTTTACTTTTATCCCTAATTGCAGGAACAACAAGCAATGCGAAGACAGTGACAAAGAAACTAGTTCCAAACCCAGTCAATACAGGCAAAATAATGGCAAAGTCTTCCTGGTTGTTGTCGGATGCAGGAGTTTGCAAAGGGACTTGAATTTTGTCACAGTTGATTAAAAAATCGCCACATAAACCAGAGTTTCCTTCAAAGGTGGAGTTTGTAAATGTTGGAAATTGACCTCCAGAAGGAATTGTTCCCGTTAGATTATTGTATGCAACACTGAATTTGGACAAAAAACTTAAGCTCACCAGAGACGTAGGGATTGTTCCTGTGAGACTGTTAAAAGAAAGATCCAGCGTCTCTATGCTCCTCATACCTGATAAAGAACCGGGAATCGTACCTGATAAATTGTTGTGTTTCAGATCCAAAACATGTAGCTTTTTTAAGTTCCCAAACTCCCGCCAGATTGGACCCGTGAGAAGGTTGTAACTGAGGTCTAAAAGCGGTGGAAATCTCATGATCTGATTGTACTGGGCTATTGATCCTCTGGCGCTCATGTTCCGTATTTTAAAAAACGGGAAACTTGGTGACGGATCCTTTAATGATATATCTCTTGAAATCAGGCTTTCTAATCGTGTTAGATTCTTGGGTATCTCTCCTGAAAAGGAATTGTTGGATAGGTCCAAGTAAAAGAGAGACTTAAAATTACCCAAATACCCCGGGATCGATCCTGTCATGTGGTTCCAAGAAAAATCCAGCAACTGTAACTGCGTTAAACCCTTTAGCCATGGTGGAATGCTACCAGTGAGATTGGAATTGGCAATCACAAGAGCTTTGAGTGATTTGAACTGTAGATCATCATCAGGTGGCAGCTGTTCATTATAGAAGTTCATAGTAAGAACCAAAACAGTTAGATTGGGGCAGTGCTGGAGAACTTTAAGAGCTGTTGACAGGTTATTGAGGCTACAATTGGAAAGTGAAAGGTAAGAAAGAGAAGGGAGATTCTTGAAAGTTTGTGGGATTTGGCCTTTGAGTTTGGGATTCCTGGCAAGATTTAAAGCTTTTAACTTTTGGCAAGATGCAAGAGTATCAGGTATTGTACCCGAAAAGCTATTAGAAGCCAGATCAAGTGAGGTAAGGTTAACCATGGCGGAGCAATTGAAATTGATTTTACCATCCAAAGAATTGTTTCTCAAGCTGAGGGAAGAAATGGAGTGTGAATGTGACAATGATGGAGGTATCCCACCAAACAGATTGTTGGAATGAGCTGAGAAATAACTTAAATTCGGAAAACTATGGAAGAAATCGGGTATATTTCTTGAGAACCTGTTGGATGAAATATCCAAGCGAACCAGATGACTAGAGGAATTACCAATTCCCTCGATGTCGGTGAACCTGTTATCATGTAGTGCCAATTCCACCAACTTAGGTAACGTGAATAAGAACTTGGGTATGACGCCTGAAAGATAATTGGAAGCCACGTCCAGATGTTCAAGGAAATTGCAATTCCCAAATTCAAGCGGAATAGTTCCATTGAAGTAATTCGCAGCAAATATAAGAACATGAATTCTGGTGGAGTTAACACATAAACCGGATGGAAGTGAATCCCCAAAGGCATTATCAGATATGTCTAATACTTGAAGTGAAGGCAGGTTTATGTTAGGTGGTAAAACCCCATTGAATCTATTATCACTTAAATCAACTACTTCCAAATGGGGGAGACGAAATAAGGAAACGGGAAGAGGGCCTTTAAGAAAATTGTGTGAAAGATTCAGTGTCCGGAGATGATTCAAATTAGAAAATGAATCGGAGACACTCCCCGTCAATATGTGATTCGGGAGTTTTAATCTAACAATCCTACCAGAAGTGGAATTACAATTGATACCGATCCAGTTGCAGCAACTGGAAGATGAAAAAGATGATGAAACTTTTGGCCACCACCCATCAATTGGCGATTCCAGTCCATTCATGAAACCCCTTAATCCTTTCACATCATCAGAATTGCATGTCAGATTCTGTGAACTCAAAAGAACCTGACTTTGAAGAGAAAGTGCAACAATAATGACAAGTACCCACATCTCCAATAAAACGACCATCTCGGATTATATAGACTGAACAAGAACACCAACACCAACAGGAACAAAGGTAATGAAATTTCAGGGTTTAGAGAGAAACCCCATTTGGAGATGGAGTTTTCTTTCAAAGGTCCATTGTTTTATCCAAAGATGAAGAAATTTAAGTTTACAGACTAAGAAGGATATATTTGCAAACACAGCTACACAGGTCGAGAGAAGAACTAGACTGAGCTTCAGTGACGTGACGTGGCTTGTTTGGGCATATTCTCTTGCTCTCTGGCTCTTTTATGCTTCAGCCACCGAAGCAAGTCAACGTTTGCCGGAAGATTGAGCTGTTCCAAAATTTCGAACAAAACGTGGAGAGGTAGTTTCAATTTCTATTACGTCCACCAAAGTCTCAACTTTGAAATGTTTAACGCGTGTTAGTCAACAACAGCCGTCAATTGTTTGCCATATACTTACATACTTACCAATTTTTCGTACAACCCCTTAAACTTCCACAAAGATATTAAACCACACCCTTACTTTTTAAATTTTTTTATCTTGCCTTTATTATTTCACCGATTTATTAAAAATATTATATATATATATATATATATATATATATATATATATATATATATGTTCAAACAAAAACAATTATTCAATTTAAAAACATGAGAATAATTCTCAGCCAATCAACATCATTTAAAAGAGTATGTCATATAGTTAAGTTAAAAGGGGTATTTCCGTAACTTTGTCTCTTATAAGCATTATTGGGACTTCATGGATTATGTTTTGGCTCAAATGAACTTTGGATGTAAATGGAGAGGTTGGATCAAAGGTATCTTAGTTTCCACGTTGTGCCTCGATCGTTGTGAATGACTCCGTGACAATTGAACTCTCTCTTTCCAAAACAAATAGTCAAGGAGACCTGCTCCCGCCCTTTTTATTCATATTGACTATGGAAAATCTTTATGTCCTCATGTGATAGGCTAAAGAGAAAAAATTTATTTCATGGTCTTGCCCTTCCTAATGGGGGTCCCGTTTTATACCATTTGATGTATGTGGATGATGTGTTGTTTATTGGAAAATGGTTCGAAGTTAATTTCATTAATCCTAAAAGGCTTTTTCATTGATTTTATCTTGCATCCGGTTTAAAGATAAACTTTCAACAACAACAAAATGTCAAGTCCCATAAGGATAGGGTAAGAGGGGATGTAAAATGATTGGCAACCTTAATTGTTTCCAAATAAGACCTCCAACTAAAAAAATGATTAGTTAAAGGTCAACTTTCTTAAGAGTAAAGTTTTCGACTTCAGTGTGGAAAGTGATGACATATATATAAAATAACTAACATATTTATTTTATAATAATACGTGTATTCAATAATAACATATTATTTCCTAAACAATATGTATATCTAATGATCATCTAGAAGAAGGAGGCATATACATGAATCAATAGGTACATGAATGATATAAATGGTGGTGGAGACAAAATGATTAAGATTCTACACCTTACCCACTTGTTATTCTTGAAGGTTATAAATACAAGAACAGGGAGAGGAGGCAAAAACGTCTCATAGGTTACATTTAGATAAAAAAAAAAAGAGATAAAGATAATTGCATTATATATCGGAAAAAATGCAAAATAACGATTGCTAGGAAAAAGCATCCTACGCAAATCATAACCTTTCTTTGACAAAGTCGTTCTAATCCTACCCGGGAAAGTGGCGTAAAACATCATATAAAATATGAAGTTACCTATGTGGAATCGCCATCCGATGAATTATTACTGACTTCCTAATCCCTCATCTGTTGATTGTTTCTTGTGTTTTTACATCTCATAGCCCCACTAAAATGATGACGATATCCAGAAGCCTTCTTACGGGTCCGGGTCGAAACGATTTACACCCATAAGAGGAATCTGTTATTTTACGTATCCTCAAATTGGCGCCATCCGTGGGACCCGAACGACATACCTTTTAAAAAAAAGATTTAAACAACCCGCGAACGCTACCCGGCTAGCAAGGACGGAAGCATGGTCATGAATGGAGACGAACCACCTCAAGTCACAACTCAAGAAATGACGGGTATGTTAGGCGAACCGAGCATCGAACCCGCAGCCATCCCCCAAAACGCAGGCGGAGCCAATAAACTGATCTCAGAACCAGATCTAGAAGACTCGATCATGCAGTTTGTAGTCCATAATTTTGATCGGATGAATGCCATGTACAAAGCCTTCACCCGAAAGCTTACAGAGTTACCACCTCAGCCTACGCTCGTAAGCGCAGATCCTCCGGTCGTAGAACCACTCATCTCAGACTCAAATGATGTGCGACCAGGGAAAGCCAAGGAGCCCGCTTTCGTCGAAAGTGACAACAACGACCCCTCTAACAATCAAGCTGTCATCAAAGCAACACCTCTCACCGACATAATTAAAAAGAGATCAGAAATAAATAATGACTTCTATTACGAACCATTCGTATTCAAGGAGTCGGACAGAGACGTGTGTCGTCTAGTAGCTTAAAAGTGCTTAAAAGTAAGCTCCAAGAACTTCTACAATTCAACAAAGATATATTTGCATGGACACCCGCGAATATGACATGCATCCCACGAGAACTGGCAGAACACAAACTTAACATCCATCCACATACGTTCCCAGTCTGGCAGAAGAAACGAGTCATAGCAAAAGATCGGAGTGAGGTCATCACGACAGAGGTGACCAAGTTAGTGGAGGCACGGATTCTTAGAGCGGTTTTCTTTCCCCGATGGGTCTCAAATCCCGTAATGGTGAAAAAATCAGACGGAACATGGCGCATGTGCATTGACTTTACAAACCTCAACAAAGCTTGCCCCAAATATAGCTACATGTTGCCCGAAATAGACCAGAAGATAGAATCCTTAGAAGGCTTCAAGCTCAAATGTTTTCTAGATGCATACAAAGGTTACCATCAAATACGTATGGCCAAGGAGGATGAAGAAAAAACTTCATTCCACACAGAACAAGGGACCTTCTGCTATGAAAAGATGTCATTCGGATTAAAAAATGTTGGAGCCACTTACCAATGGTTAATAAATAACATGTTCTCAGATCAACTCAGCAGAAATATTGAAGTTTATGTTGATGATATGGTGATAAAAAGCAAGAACGAGAACTACTTCATATCGGATATCGCCGAAACATTCGACACACTCCGTAAAGCGAACATGAAGCTCAACCCTAAAAAATGCACGTTTGGGGTGGAAACCGGGCAGTTTTTAGGGTACATGATCACCAACGAAGGAATCCAGGCAAATCCAGAAAAGATCCAAGCCATAATAAACATGTCTTCGCCAAAAACCTTACATGAAGTTCAAGCGCTAAATGGCAAACTCGCAACACTGGGGCGTTTCTTAGCAAAATCGGCGGAAAGATCATTACCATTCTTCAAGACGCTAAAAGGTTGTCTCAACAAAAAAAGACTTTCAATGGGGTGCTGAAGCGGAGGTGTATTTCCAAGAATTAAAAAACCATCTTCAATCCTTGCCATCATTTACAATACCAAAGCCAGGAGAGACATTAATCCTTTATCGGTCAGCCGCCACTGAAGCTATAACCGCAGTACTCCTAGCAGAAAGGGGGAACGTGCAAAAACCAATATACTTCGTGAGCCGAGCATTGCAAGGAGCTGAAATCAACTACCCAAGCCTTGAAAAAGTTGCCTCGCCCTAGTGCACGCAGCTCGACGGTTGCGTCGCTATTTTCAAGCACACACAATATGTGTCATAACCGACCAACCAATCAGACAAGTCCTCCTAAAATCGGAAAACTCGGGGCGTATGGCCAAATGGGGCATCGAACTAGGAGAACATGAGATAATATATAAACCTCGCTCAGCAGTTAAAGGACAAGTCCTCGCAGACTTTTCGGCAGAATCTCCTATGACCAACAACTTTTCCATAAAGAAAGCTGCCAAAATATATGATAAAAGCAACGCTAAGACATGGACCCTATTCACTGACGGAGCATCCAGCCAAGAGGGATCTGGTGCGGGATTAATTCTAATCGATCTCGCAGGACGAGAAATAACCTACACCCTCCGATTTAACTTCAAGGCCTCCAACAACGAAGCTGAATACGAAGCCTTGGTGGCAGGACTAGAACTCACTAGTCAAATGGAAGCACAACAGCTTCATGTATACACCGACTCTCTGTTGATTACAAATCAAGTGAAAGGATTATATGAAGCCAAGGAAGAATTGATGAAAATATATTTATCCAAATTCCAGGACTTACAAAAACATTTCAGCTACTTCACGAAAACACAGATCCTGCGTTCAAAAAACAAACGCACGGATGCTTTAAGTAAGTTAGCATCTTCATCTTTCTCTCACTTAACGAAAAGTGTCTTGGTCGAAATTGTCCCATGCAGGAGCATATATGTGAAAGTTGTCAACACAGTTGAGGAAATAGGACAGACATGGATAGACCCGATTGTACGCTACTTGATGGATGGGACCCTTCCAGACGACCAAACGGAAGCAAGGAAAATAAGGATCAAAGCCCCCAAAATTCCATCAAACAGGGTGTGCTTTATCGAAATGGATATCTGACCCCGTGTTTAAGATGCGTTGGACCCAAACAGGCAAACTATGTTTTACGTGAAGCACACTTCGGGTCATGTGGTGCACATGCAGGAGCCCGAAGCATCGTTCAAAAGGTCGCAAGGCTCGGGTACTATTGGCCTACAATGTATCAAAATGCCACAAGAATTATGGAAACATGCCAGAATTGTCAGCAACATGCACTAACGATACGACAACCTCAATGTGAACTAACAAGCATCTCAAGCCCATGGCCCTTTTACGAATGGGGAATCGACATAGTGGGGCCATTTCCAGAGGTTCCCGGCCGTTTCAAGTTTCTAATAGTCTCCATAGACTATTTTACAAAATGGGTAGAATTCGAGCCGGTAGCAACAATCACCGGTCAAAAGGTATTGCATTTCATTTAGCGCAATATTGTTTGTCACTTCGGAATTCCAGGAATAATCATCA